TTTTTAAATTTTCACATAAAAAAAGTTAAAAAAGTTTTGTACTCTTCTTTGTCAACCCAAGTAATCACAAGATTTAGAAAAGTATTTCAGTCATTGTAGTTTTAAAAAAGTCATTCATACGTTCTAGTTTTAAACAAGTTATCGTGTTTTAAACGGTGTCAACATACTTCCCGACGCGTCCGTAATTTCCACTAAAAATTTCAAAATTCGGGAATGCCACAGTCGTATCGATATCAAAGCATTCGAGATACTCTTCGGGCCGGCGCGTTTCGCGGAAACGAACCGATTCGCGCGAAACCAGCACGGCGCAGCGCGTGTTCGGAGCCGAAAAAAGCCGGAAACAATAAACAATAAAAAAAAAGTCAAACACGGCACGGTGTCTCGTTTATCTGCGCTCGGTTTCGAGCTGACCTTTCACTTCGGCCAGGATTAATGCGGTTATCGTTCGCGGCGGGCACAACACGCGCGAGATCGCTAACGGGAAGGAAAAGCTCTCTTGCTGCTGCACCGTGCTGCACCGCGCTGCATCGCGCCGGGGGAATAAATGCAGAATTTAATTATCGGAGGCCCTCTTTCTCCTCGCGCACTCTAAGTCGCTTCGAGTGGCTCGCAACAACATCTGGCGGACCGTGTGTTTTCCCAGCGACCTTTTTATCGTTTCTACCTCCCGGTGGCCGAGTTATCCACGCTCGAGCGCAGATATAAATTGGCCGAAATGGCGCGATACGATCGTGCTCTTGCGCCTCTATTCCTATATGTCTACGTCAGCCGAGCGTTATCAGCGTATCGTCGATGTAACTCTGATTAAGCAACATTTCGCTCGACGAGCTCCCTCTTCTCTCCTCGTCCAAGACGAAACGGAAGGAAAGTACGTAAACTTTTACCCCGTTTCCTTCGGCACCGCTTCGGTCCGCTTTTTAATTCGAGCCGATAAACACCCGGAATACCGAGGGAAATCGCTGTCGATCGCGCGTGTTTCACCGAGCGAGCGATATAATGTGCCCGGTAAATCGGCGGACTCCGCGTCCAATGAAAAATCTTGCCGCGACATGTGTCCAATTTGGATTAATTACGGAGATATGTAAATCCGGGAACGCTGGAACACGTTCGGACCGTATGAATGCAGATTGAATTTTTACTAGGGAATCATGTAAATAATGTCCGCCCCGTGTGGTGGCTAAATTAATTACGCTCGCGATCAACGAGATCAGGTGGGGGCCTGCTGTGAAAAATGTCTCGAGCAACCTGCAATGAAAATAGAACTTGCTGCGTGCAGGATAGGTTTCTGACGTCAACTGATTGTAGGAACGTTTTCAAAAGTGTTTAATGGATCTTTCATTCTTTACGGTGCAGCAAGATCGCTGATGTATCCTTAAGGAAATCTCTTTTCGATCTGGAAAATGAAGCGACTTCGATGCAAAGCTTTCCAAGATTAATTTGGCGTAGTTGCCTGATATGAGACAGCGGTTGTTTTGTAATTAACCGAGGAATTTGATGCGTTGTTGGTACATCGAGTATCTTGGACGAGAACATTTTAGAGTTGGACAAAATTGTATTCAGACGACGGATAAGAGATGAAGACTTAACGAATACAATTTGTTTCGACATTTTCGAATAAATATTCAGGCGAATAAAAATTGACCAAGATGAAGCTTACTCGAATAAGATTTCATTCGAATAAATAGATAGAATAATTTATGACGAATAATGAATAATATACTCGTATAAATATATATTATATAATATATAATATATAATAATATATAATATATGAATATATATTATATAATAATATACTCGTATAAAGTATTCGATTAAAAAGAATTCATTCGAACAATTATCTTGTGTCGAGTGACTCGATCGATGTATGAACATCATCGAAATGATGAATGTATGTATAAAATTATTGTCGTATATACTATACGTAGTTACTAATAAACCGCGGATTCGCGCACATTTCTCGAATATCGATGCATTACTTTCAAAATTTTTTAATTATTCAACGACGATCGAAATTTCTATGGAGTCTTGTAAGAGAACATAACGAATCTAATCGGTAACTCCCATGTCTACTTTGAGGGACCAAAGATGGGTTGCCCATAACTATGGTACTCACGAGATAAAGAATGTTTTTTCCACAGAATCTGCGTCGATGCAATCTCCTATCAAATTCTATTTAACTTTTTGCCGTACCTTGGCTATTCCGACTCGTGATGGATATTTCTAGCAATAACATGTTAAGTATTAGTAATTAGTAGTTGGTAATATGATGGTATCGAGCATTCAAGTAAATGTAGGCACACAATATTTTACTTTCTCCTGGAAGAAATTGTTACAATCGAAACCGTTCTAATTACAGTAATTTCTCCCTAATTCGCGCTCAGATTGTACACAAAAATAGACAATTTGGGCGCAAGAAATACGATTATTCGAGTCTCGCGGCTCGTTTTTATAGTTACCAATTGTTAACAACTATAAAACCGAGACGCGAAGCTCGAATAACCGTACCTCCTTTTCCCAAATTGTCCATTTTTGAGCGCAATCTAAGCGCGAATTAGGGAGAAATCACTGTATTCTGACTGTGAAGAAACTGGCACGGCAAGTAGTTAAATAGAACGGTTATTTCCAACGGTAAATCATTTCATAGTTCGTCTATAAAAAAAAATCTATATACATAAAAGGCGTGTCCGAGTCGCTGGTGGGCGATCTAGGGCAACTATCAGAGTGCAATGGTAAAATTTCCGGTGGAAAGATAAAAATGGTGCATAGCGATGTCTTCGCAAAAAAAGAACAAAACATATAATTTGCCAAGAGTTCCCGAGAGCGAGCGGAGGAGCGTACACGCGATACCATTGGATTCGCTTCGAATGGTCGCCGGTAAGTTAATTACCCGCGTCGACAGGTCGGTCGGTTATCACGCGAGCTCCTCGCGAGCATAAGCGCGAGCGGAGACGGTGCGAGCGGGCTGGAATGGAGTAGGAGGAGCCAGTGGATCCGAGACTTTATTATTAGCCGGTTTCTTTCGCCGGGTTGGAGAACGACCGTTCGTTCCTCCCTGTGTCTTTGCCGGCGAAACGCGTGTTTCACAAGATTCCTGAGCTCGGCGAGGAGAGTTCGCCGGCCACCCCCACCGCTGAAATATAACCGCGAATCCATCACGCCGCGATCCTCGTTAGAGCTAGAAGCTAGAACCGGTCTTCCGCGAACCGAAACTTAAACGAGATTATCGCTCGAGGCTCGCGACAGCCGGCCGTGAATAATTCGTGGCAGGCGACGAAGAGGAGAGAAGCTGCGGAGAGAAGCCGAACGAGAGAGGAGAGAAGCTGGAGAGAGAAGCCGGCGCGAGAGGATCCCCGCGAGCAGACGTCCCGAGACAAGCCATCGCCGGGATTCCAAGCTAATTCGTGGCAAGACCGCTCGCTAATCCGTCTTAAGTTAAGGCCGCGCCGAGTAATAATCGGCTGGTACGCCTAGCGCGACGGGCCAATCAATCTGGCAGCTTGGTAGTGGCATATTTTACCAGCGAAACGTTACAAAGCGTATTGCGAAAGCCGCGCGATATGCCGCGCGCGAGCAGAGACGCGAGAGAACGCGAAAAGACGCGAGAGGACGCGTCCTCCACGCGCGCGCAGCTAATAAACCGTTTAATGATTCCGTTTATAAATACGGCCGGAGCTCGTAACTCTTACGATTAGCCGTGGCACGTGCAATTTGCCTGATTTATCGCGGTGAACGGTTCGCTGGACGACGCGTCGAATTTTACGCGGGGGTGGTCATGCCAAGACGATGGTCACACGTGTCTCCGAGTATTATCGTTTTTCACGAAGAACGGTATTATTAAGGAATTAGGGAGAAACTGTGTCTTGGAGTAATTGGCACCGGGAAGATCGGCTGGAGGCTTCTATCGTTTAGCTGATGCAGGGTTGTTATACTCTTCGAGGATGATCGCTGAACTGGCTGCTTCGTCCTTTTATTTATTGTTGAATACCATGCAGGAATTTAGGTATTTATACCGTGAGAATTAGATCGGACAGTTGATGTTTGAGTTCGCGAAAATGTAATGCCTGACTTGTCATTGTAGTAGACTTATTTTTATTTAAATAACTTAGGATATCTTAACACTTAGGATATCTTAAAAATGATGTCAGAAATGGACGGTTATGTAGGAAGATAAGCTTCTCAGGTTTTCGAGGAATGACGATGATAATGCTGTTGCACTGTTTACGTAAACCAAAGATAGGAAGATGAAGCGATTATCGAGTCACGTGTATCTTGATATTTAACATATGGAGAATGTCGAAACAAAAAGGTAAGCCGACCGCAGTCAAGCGAATGGAAGAAACTAATTGGTGGAAAAAGTATCGATGCTGGATTCCCGAGATAATCTTCTCGAAGTAACCTTTGCGGATTGTTTCCCTAAACGTAGCTTTCGCTATTGTATAAGATATTTGACTTTCTATGCACATATTATTTCGACGTCGTCGCTCACTAATCCTGAACGCTTCATCCTCAAAAAATAGATGATCGATAAACCGCGGACTTTTATGCAAAATAATTATTTTGTGCATCGATCGTAAAAAAACAGGAAATACATAGTAATGTATTGTATGTAAATACATTTTAACGAGTAAATCTAATTTATAAATGAAAATTATAAATTATAAGTAAAAGTATAAGTAAAAACTATAAGCAAAAGTAATTTATAAATAGATAACAGATTTTATGCATTTATGGCCAATGTAAACAGTTGCAATTTAAAATAAAATCTACTAGAATTATCTTAAAAGAGAAAAAACTTTCTGTGTAGTTTCTGTTTCGTTTTTAGTTTGCACAAAAATCCGCAGTCCAGATATAAATAATATAATCGAATCGTTAAATTCTTCTAATAGTGTCGTCGCAGTTTAATGATCGATCTCTGATCTTGAACTTCCTGTCCACAAAAATACAACACTAAATTATAAAAATTCGAAGCTCGCGTAAGATCGAAGATGAAGGCTTACCAAAGGAGGATAGAACGCCGAGCTGTCCATGCTGATGCTAGGATAGGGTCCTTGATCAGTGGTGGATGGCGTGGGCGTGGGGTACGAAGAATAGGAGGTCGCTGTGGGTGCTAGCCTAGGGTAGGCGCCCAGCGCGAGCCTCGCCGCGCTATCATACTGACAACTGCAAACCGTTTGCCCGGTTACCGGGTCCGTCATCATGGGCCTGCCATTTTCGCAGCAACCTGGACCTGTGGTCCCACCAACAGGGGTGCTCGCACCTCCGGAGGCCGCTGCAGCCGCGGCTCCCGTCGTCGTCGACGACGACGGAGACAACGCACCTGGGCTCAACGCACCCCCCGACGACATCGCCGGCGACGTCGCCGTCGTCGGCTGTCCACCGCTCACCAGCAGCTGAAACATTAAATAATGGTCCTTGTCAATTTTTTTCAGAAATTTTCCTCTCCCCATGTGGTCGCAGAACGTTCAATAGCGATTGGTTAGAGGATAGGACAGGATAGAACGGTCTGCAGATTACAGATTATAATGCATTTGTATCTTCTAATTCATAGTTCTCTTATTTTGTGTTTTACATCTGGCATCAATTTTTGTTCGAAATACGCTCGGTCACGAAGATTTTGGTACATTTTTTAATACGGAAAATATTTTAGAACATTCGATCGAATGACTTGTACTTTTTTTTTTAATGTTAGCGGGTCTGGTTTACTAAACAATCGTGAAACGAATTTTTGTAAAAATAGAAGTTGGTTGAAATGGCAAAAAATGAAAGAAACTTATGTGTTTTAACTTTTTTTTATTTGAGTGAATAATAAAACTTTAAATATTCCAGTTTGTAGTCCTGAAGCGAAAATGCTATCGAAATATCGAATGAGTGAGAAGCTATAAACAATTAAATATTATGAAAATAGCAGGATTTCGTTACATGTGCCTCCATGTTTTCGAGATCGACTGTGTGTATTTGCATAAATTGTAAGTTCGTGTAAATGAGAACTAAAAATTATTTTTATGTTATTATTAAACATAGCTCTTGTATCATTTACAACCTACTATAAATAAATTTGTCCAGAATGTTCGTTGAATATTAAAATATTGTTTCAATTGTAACGAAGTACGTACGTGTGCTTCGCGATAATAAAAATTGAGGTATACAAAGAAATTGTTGGTCTGAAATGTAGTACCACTTATTAAGTACAAACTGCATTTACGTATTAACTATAAAAGTTTAATATTTATAGGCACGTGAAGTAAAAACATCTATCAAATTCAATTTAAATCAACCTTTTTATGCACTCGTTTCATCAGCGATTATATGTAATGTCAAGCACGACGGAAAATTGTAACCATCGGCAGCTCCACTTTTTACGTAGCAATAATTTGTTCCTCGAAACTGGATTATAATGGTTACCAATATCGGAGATGCCGGCGTACTCTTGTTGTTCTATTAAATCGGTTCCACAGCGCTAGCACAAATCACTACTTGATCGGGCCACCGCGTACGTAATAGAACACTCGAGGCCGATAACGTCTGCGGAGATCTTGTCGCCGGAACGGTAAGTGATAGTAAGATGAACTGCGCAACAAGTCAGATAATGAATTTAATTTAACTGATATCGAGAGGCACGCGTTCGATAAATCAAAAATAAACGGCGCTCGAGTATGCCTGAAGAAGCGGCAGCTTAACTTAAGCCTACATAACATCGGCTCCCATTCAGCTGGAGTATCGTAATCGGTCTTTTATTACGGCCACGAAACGGTTACCACGAAAAACTCCAACAATATCGCGAAAATAATCGCGTAAATCAACCGCGGGCCCAAGTCGATCTACCTTGGCAAATTAACCTTGTTGCCGCACACCGGCATTATTCATCGATTCGAAAGCCTGTACGGGCGACCGGGGCGATCGGGAAGAATCGGCAACCGGCAACAGCAGCTAACGAGCTCTCGAAAAATAATTCGATCGCGGTGGGTTAATGGCGATAATGACGGTAATTTCGAAAGCAGGTGATAGGCCGCTTATCGGCCGCGGATCCGATTATAAATGCGGGCTCGATAACTCGATAGCAATTTCGTGTTACTTTAATGGACGATAATCGCGGAAGGAGTGGTAGAGCGGTATCAGCCCGAGTTATTAAACAACAGATGACACGCTCGACTATTAATTTCCCGAAGAAAAGGGGGTCGTCGCGGGCTTTTAATCTCGTCGACAAAGGCGCGACTCGGATCGATACCGGAATTCGAAAAATCCTCGACGAGCATCGAGTGGATCAGCAGCTGGGTGTATCGTGCAGGCGCGAGATCGCGACGCTTCGATAGCGATAATTGTCACATAATTTCGCGTAATGACGCCACCGGCATTATCGCGGATACCGTTTTCAGAGACTCGGCTGAATAAATTAAACGGAAATTTATCGGCACCGGCCGGCCAAGTCAAATTGCTGGCAGCGTTCATATATCAGCGGAGAGAGCCGTGTTTGCACTTTTGCGAACCGCGGCCACCGCGCACACACGCGTTCCGCTCTCGGAAATTGAACCTCGTTATATGCTAATGCGGACAACGGACGCACGCGCGTCGTCGTCGTCGTCGTCGTCGTCGTCGTCGTCAACGTCGTTCTCGTTTCCATCGAGCGCAGTCTCTCTCTCTCTGTCTCTATCTCTCTTTCTTCCTTCCTCTCTCTATTTCTCTCTTTCTTCCTGCCTCTCTCTCTCTCCCGTTCTTCCCTCTCTCTCCATCCCTCCCTTTCTCTTTCTCTCTCTCTCTCTCTCTCTCTCTCTCTCTCTCTCTCAAACGCCTAAAAACACTCCCCGTCAAAATGGCCATCCCCAACCTCGACCATTTGTCACTGCTATCGGCGCGAAACTCGAACACGCGAAACAACCGGCCGACTTGGAACGATAGCAAATACCTTGTCGTGTACACGTATTCCCGGGTAATTGGTACAAGTCGAACCGGCCCGGGAAAAAACGCCGCTGCTTCTAACAATGGATTATTATGTTGCTGACGCCGCTGCGGTAAAATGTAAATAAACGCTGACAAACGACCAACCGCGAACCGTTTCTCTTTCTTTTCCTTCTCCTCTCTTCGTCGTTGCACAGTGCTTTCGGTCGATCGTTGACNACCAATATCGGAGATGCCGGCGTACTCTTGTTGTTCTATTAAATCGGTTCCACAGCGCTAGCACAAATCACTACTTGATCGGGCCACCGCGTACGTAATAGAACACTCGAGGCCGATAACGTCTGCGGAGATCTTGTCGCCGGAACGGTAAGTGATAGTAAGATGAACTGCGCAACAAGTCAGATAATGAATTTAATTTAACTGATATCGAGAGGCACGCGTTCGATAAATCAAAAATAAACGGCGCTCGAGTATGCCTGAAGAAGCGGCAGCTTAACTTAAGCCTACATAACATCGGCTCCCATTCAGCTGGAGTATCGTAATCGGTCTTTTATTACGGCCACGAAACGGTTACCACGAAAAACTCCAACAATATCGCGAAAATAATCGCGTAAATCAACCGCGGGCCCAAGTCGATCTACCTTGGCAAATTAACCTTGTTGCCGCACACCGGCATTATTCATCGATTCGAAAGCCTGTACGGGCGACCGGGGCGATCGGGAAGAATCGGCAACCGGCAACAGCAGCTAACGAGCTCTCGAAAAATAATTCGATCGCGGTGGGTTAATGGCGATAATGACGGTAATTTCGAAAGCAGGTGATAGGCCGCTTATCGGCCGCGGATCCGATTATAAATGCGGGCTCGATAACTCGATAGCAATTTCGTGTTACTTTAATGGACGATAATCGCGGAAGGAGTGGTAGAGCGGTATCAGCCCGAGTTATTAAACAACAGATGACACGCTCGACTATTAATTTCCCGAAGAAAAGGGGGTCGTCGCGGGCTTTTAATCTCGTCGACAAAGGCGCGACTCGGATCGATACCGGAATTCGAAAAATCCTCGACGAGCATCGAGTGGATCAGCAGCTGGGTGTATCGTGCAGGCGCGAGATCGCGACGCTTCGATAGCGATAATTGTCACATAATTTCGCGTAATGACGCCACCGGCATTATCGCGGATACCGTTTTCAGAGACTCGGCTGAATAAATTAAACGGAAATTTATCGGCACCGGCCGGCCAAGTCAAATTGCTGGCAGCGTTCATATATCAGCGGAGAGAGCCGTGTTTGCACTTTTGCGAACCGCGGCCACCGCGCACACACGCGTTCCGCTCTCGGAAATTGAACCTCGTTATATGCTAATGCGGACAACGGACGCACGCGCGTCGTCGTCGTCGTCGTCGTCGTCGTCGTCGTCAACGTCGTTCTCGTTTCCATCGAGCGCAGTCTCTCTCTCTCTGTCTCTATCTCTCTTTCTTCCTTCCTCTCTCTATTTCTCTCTTTCTTCCTGCCTCTCTCTCTCTCCCGTTCTTCCCTCTCTCTCCATCCCTCCCTTTCTCTTTCTCTCTCTCTCTCTCTCTCTCTCTCTCTCTCTCTCTCAAACGCCTAAAAACACTCCCCGTCAAAATGGCCATCCCCAACCTCGACCATTTGTCACTGCTATCGGCGCGAAACTCGAACACGCGAAACAACCGGCCGACTTGGAACGATAGCAAATACCTTGTCGTGTACACGTATTCCCGGGTAATTGGTACAAGTCGAACCGGCCCGGGANCTCTCTCTCTCTCTCTCTCTCTCTCTCTCTCTCTCTCTCTCTCAAACGCCTAAAAACACTCCCCGTCAAAATGGCCATCCCCAACCTCGACCATTTGTCACTGCTATCGGCGCGAAACTCGAACACGCGAAACAACCGGCCGACTTGGAACGATAGCAAATACCTTGTCGTGTACACGTATTCCCGGGTAATTGGTACAAGTCGAACCGGCCCGGGAAAAAACGCCGCTGCTTCTAACAATGGATTATTATGTTGCTGACGCCGCTGCGGTAAAATGTAAATAAACGCTGACAAACGACCAACCGCGAACCGTTTCTCTTTCTTTTCCTTCTCCTCTCTTCGTCGTTGCACAGTGCTTTCGGTCGATCGTTGACGGACTCGGGGAAAAAGCTAGGCGACTGTGTAATTGAAACTGTTGTCCGCCCTCCTCACCATAACGTGCAGAATTTCTAGCATTCCCTGGCCGACGTTCTTGCGTCGGAAAGTGCAACATTCGTGGAAACACGGTAGTTTTTTCGACCGCGGTCTTCGTGTTGGATTTAACTTCTGGATGAAATACAAGATTGAGAAATTAGTTCGCTCCGTCAGACTTTCGGTGCCGCGTCTTGTGCAATTTAAACAGATTCTTGGACTCGCCCGAAACCATTGGATATGCTGTTAATATTAAACAGTAAACAATGCGACCGTTGTTACAGTGAAAAATTAGTTTGCTGCGACAGAATT